GCCTCAGCCTCCCAAAGTTCTGGGATTACAGGCTTGAGCCACTGCTCCCGGCCGGGTTAATTTTTGTATAAGGTATAAGGAAGGGGTCTAATTTCAGTTTTCTGCATATGGCTAGCAAGTTTTTCCAACACTATTTATTAAATAGGGAATCCTTTCCCCTTTGCTTGTTTTTGTCAGGTTTGTCAAAGATCAGATGGTCGTAGATGTGTGGTGTTATTTCTGAGGCCTCTGTTCTGTTCCATTGGTCTCTGTATCTATTTTGGTACTTAACCAGTACCATGCTGTTTTGGTTACTGTAACTTTATAGTATAGTTTGAAGTCAGGTAGTGTGATGCCTCCAGCTTTGTTCCTTTTGCCTAGGACTGTCTTGGCTATACAGGCTCTGTTTTGGTTCCACATGAAATTTAAAGTAGTTTTTTCTAATTCTGTGAAGAAAGTCAATGGTAGCTTGATGGGGATAGCATTGAATCTATAAATTACTTTGGCTAGTATGGCCATTTTCACAGTATTGATTCTTCCTATCTGTGAGCATGGAATGTCTTTCCATTTGTTTGTGTCCTCTCTTATTTCCTTGAGCAGCGGTTTATAGCTCTCCTTTAAGACATTCTTCACATCCCTTGTAAGTTGTATTCCTAGGTATTTTATTTTCTTTGTACCAATTGTGAATGGAAGTTCACTCATGATTTGGCTGTTTGTCAATTATTGGTGTATAAGAATGCTTGTGATTTTTGCACATTGATTTTGTATCCTGAGACACTGCTAAAGTTGCTTATCAGCTTAAGGGGATTTTGGACTGAGACAATAGGGTTTTCTAAATATACAATCATGTCATCTGCAAACAGAGACAATTTTACTTCCTATCTTCCTATTTGAATATCCTTTATTTCTTTTTCTTGCCTGATTTCCCTTGCCAGAACTTCCAATACTATAATGAATAGGAGTGGTAAGAGATGGCATCCTGCTTCCAGCTTTTGCCCATTCAGTATGATATTGGCTGTGAGTCTGTCATAAATTAGCCTGAAATTTTCTTTTTTTTGTTGCATCTCTGCCAGGTTTTGGTATCAGGATGATGCTGGCCTCATAAAATGAGTTAGGGAGGAGGCCCTCTTTTTCTATTGTTTGGAATAGTTTCAGAAGGAATGGTACCAGCTTCTCTTTGTACCTCTGGTAGAATTCAGCTGTGAATCCATCTGGTCTTTTTTCAGTTGGTAGGCTATTAATTACTGCCTCAATTTCACAACTTGTTATTGGTCTATTCAGGGATTCAACTTCTTCCTGGCTTAGTCTTGGGATGGTGTATGTGTCCAGGAATTAATTCATTCTAGATTTTCTAGTTTATTTACATAGAGGTGTTTATAGTATTCTCTGATGGTAGTTTGTATTTCTGTGGGATCAATGGTGATATCCCCTTTATCATTTTTTATTGTGTCTATTTAATTCTACTCTCTCTTCTTATTAGTCTGACTAGCAATCTATCTATTTTGTTGATCTTTTCAAAAAACCAGTTCCTGGGTTCATTTATTATTATTTTTTCTTTGGTGGGTGGGGGGTGGGTCTTTTGTATCTCTATCTCCTTTAGTTCTGCTCTGATCTTAGTTATTTTTTATCTTCCGCTAGCTTTTGAATTTGTTTGGTCTTGCTTCTCTAGTTCTTCTAATTGTGATGTTAGGGTGTTGATTTTAGATCTTTCTGCTTTCTCTTGTGGATGTTTAGTGCTATAAATTTCCCTCTAAATACTGCTTTGGCTGTGTCCCAGAGATTCTGGTATGTTCTTTGTTCTCATTGGTTTCAAATAACTTACGTATTTCTGCCTTAATTTCATTATTTACCCCATAGTCCCTCAGGAGCAGGTTGTTCAGTTTTCGTGTATGTGTGTGGTTTTGAGTGAGTCTCTTAATCCTGAGTTTTAATTTGACTACACTGTGGTCTGAGAGACTGTTATGATTTCTGTTCTTTTACATTTTCTGAGGAGTGTTTTACTTCCAACTATGTGGTCAGTTTTGGAATAAGTGTGATGTCATGCTGAGAAGAATGTATATTCTCTTGATTTGTGGTGGAGATTTCTGTAGATGCCTATTAGGTCTGCTTGGTCCAGAGCTGAGTTCAAGTCCTGAATATCCTCGTTACTTTTCTGTCTCATTGATCTAATATTGATAGTGGGGTGTTAAAGTCTCCCACTATTATTGTGTGGGAGTCTAAGTCTCTTTGTAGGTCTCTAAGAACTTGCTTTATGAATCTGGGTGCTCCTGTATTGGATGCACATATATTTAGTAGAGTTAGCTCTTCTTGTTGATTGATCCCTTTACCATTAGGTAATGCCCTTCTTTGTCGGTTTAAAATCTGTTTTATCAGAGACTAGGATTGCAACCCCTGCTGTTTTAGCTTTTTATAGGCTTGATATATATTCATGCATCCCTTTATTTTGAGCCTATGTGTGTCTTTTCACGTGAGATGGGTCTCCTGAATACAGCACACCAATGGATCTTAACTCTTTATCCCATTTGCCAGTTTGTGTCTTTTAAATGGCATATTTGGCCTGTTTACATTTAAGGTTATTATGTGTGAATTTGATCTTCTCATTATGGTGCTAGCTGGTTATTTTGTCCATTAGTTGATGCAGTTTCTTCAGAGTGTCGATGGTCTTTACAATTTGGTATGTTTTTGCAGTGGCTGGTACCAGTTTTTCCTTTCCATGTTTAGTGCTTTCTTCAGGAGCTCTTGTAAGGCAGGCGTGGTGGTGACAAACAAAATCTCTCAGCATTTGCTTGTCTGTAAAGGATTTTATTTCTCCCTCGCTTTGAAGCTTAGTTTGGCTGGATGTAAAATTCTGGGTTGAAAATTACTTTCTTTCAGAATGTTGAATATTTCAGAACATTCTGAAAGAAAGTAATTTTTTTTAAAGGGTTAGAACATACTCCTTTAGCTCAGAGGATTTTATTACCCACTTTCTGAAGCCTATTTCTGTCAATTTATTAAACCCATTCTCCATCCAGTTTTGTTCCCTTGCTGGCAAGGAGTGTTGTGTTCCTTTGGAGGAGAAAAGGTGTTCTCGTTTTTGGAATTTTCAGCCTTTTGCAGTTTTTTTTCTCATCTTTGTGGATTTATCTACCTTTCGTCTTTGATGTTGGTGAGCTTCGGATGGAATTTCTGTGTGGACATCCTTTTGGTTGATGTTGATGCTATTCCTTTCTGTTTGTTAGTTTTCCTTCTAACAGGCCTCTCTGCTGCAGGTCTGCTACAGTTTGCTGGAGGTCCACTCCAGACCTTGTTTTCCTTTATCACCCAATGAGGCTGCAGAACAGCAAAGATTAGATTACGGCCTGTTCCTTCCTCTGGAAGTTTTGTTCCAGAGGGCACCCACCAGATACCAACTGGAGCTCTCCTGTATGAGGTGTCTGTCGACCCCTGCTCAGAGGTGTCTCCCAGTCAGGAGGTATGGGGATCAGGGACCCACTTGAGGAGGCAGTCTCTCCCTTAGCAGAGCTCAAGCACTGTGCTGGGAGATCTGCTCTCTTCAGAGCCAGGAGGTAGGAACGTTTAAATCTGCTGAAGCTGCGTCCACAGCTGCCCCTTCCCCAAGATGCTCTGTCCCAGGGAGATGGGAGCTTTATCTGTAAGCCCTTGACTGGGGCTGCTGCCTTTCTTTTCCAGATGCCCCTGCCCAGAGTGGGAATCTAAAGAGGCAGTCTGGCTACAGTTGCTTTGCAGAGCTGCAGCGGGCTCCACTCAATTCAAACTTCTCAGCAGCTTATTTTACACCGTGAGGGGAAAACTACCTACTCAAGCCTTAGTAGTGGTGGACACCCCTCCCCAACTTCAGACTGCTGTGATGGCAGCAAGAATTTCAAACCAGTGGATCTTAGCTTGCTGGGCTCTGAGGGAGGGATCTGCTGAGCTAGACCACTTGGCTTCCTGGCTTCAGACCTCTTTCCAAGGGAGTGAATGGTTCTGTCTTGCTGGCGTTCCAGACGCCACTGGGCTATGGGAAAACATAATTCTGGCAGCTACCTCAGTGTCTGTCCGAATGGCTGCACAGTTTTGTGCCTGAAACTCAGGGCCCTGGTGGCATAGGCACCTGAGGTAATCTCTTGGTCTGCAGGTTGCAAAGAAAAGTGTAGTATCTAAGCCAGAATGCACCATTCCTCATGGCACAGTCACTCATGGCTTCCCTTGGCCAGGGGACAGAATTCCCTGACCTCTTGCATTTCCCGGGTGAGGTGAGGCCTCACCCTGCTTTGGCTCGCCCTCTGTGGGCTGCACGCACTGTCTAACCAGTCCCAATGAGATGAGCCAGCTACCTCAGTTGGAAATGCAGAAATCACCGTCTTTCTACATTGATCTCGCTGGGAACTGTGGACTGAAGCTGTTCCTATTCAGCCATCTTGCTAGCCACCATCATTGAAGTTTCCGTTGTCTATGGTCAGCCTGTGACCTGGAGATTCCCTTAACTGCTGGAGTTCAGGAGCATCTCTTTTCACCAAGTGTTTCCCCGGTGACTGTGTCTGATCAGGTTCCAGAGTTCCCAGATGGTTGACTCTGGTCGTTTTCTTTTTTTTCCAGCTTAATGGTTGTTTCTGTGGAGAGACTGAACCCTGGAGCCTCCTGCCCTGCCATCTCTTGTCACAGATGTTACTTTAAGACAGCGAAATTTCAGAAATTCTTGCTATGCCTTGTGAATTTCAGAAATTCTTGCTATGCATTTGAAGTTCAGGAATTCTTGCTATGCCTTTGTGAAAGTACCTCCAACCTCTAGTCCCAGGAGTTCTGAGGGGCTGTCTCAGCACATTTCCCAGTTTAATGATGCTGAGACAAACATCTGCTGTATGATAGGTGAACTTCTGTGTTTCCTTCAGTGCGCCTGAGAAAGGTGGCTGGCTTTTTCTGTGCATAAAATAACGATAATCCTGCAAGAGTCCTTGTTTGAACACAGAGTGTGAGAGTCTCTATCTCATTTTAATCAACACAGGCAATGAAAGAACAAAACTGCAATGACCAGGCTATAGTAGAAACAGGATTTTAATATAATATTCAAGTCTAGCGTTTGCTATTTACAACAAATAAATATTGCCCCTCCCCAATCAGTAAACATTTTTTTTCTTTTTGCTTTTTATACAAATATTCAATCACCCCACCCCCACCCCAAATCCTCCTTCCTCACCAACCCCCGTCTTGCATGGTCTTGTAAAGCCCAGGACGCAGTGGTGAATGGCACTTGCAGTGGCATGAGATTCAACATCGATGGGACTCAGCTGGGACTGTCCTCACTCACCGGGTGCAGAGCCTGGTCCATGAAGAGGGTTTTTTTCTGCTCCCAGGGGAGGGCTGGGGTAAGTTGTGGGTGAGACTCCCTCACTCTCAGTTGGCCCTGATGATGGAATCTTTGGTGCGGCCTCAGAAAGGCTAGAGTGGTGGGAGGAGGGGCCAGGACCCCTGCGAAGGTCATAGGCCAGTGCCCGTGGGCATGAGGAGAGAACTGCAGTGGTCAGACACGGTGGGTGAGTGGGTGCTCTGGGGTGCCCATGGGCACAGGTGGCAGTGACCCACACCTGGGAAGGTGTCAGAAGTGTATAGAGGTGGCACCCAGGGGCAGGCAGGGCACCATGCCTGTTGGCACTGCTCCTTGGCAAAAGTCAGCTAGTCCTCTGGTTCCAGAGAGCAGAAGGCACCTAAGGCAGTGAGTGGTCCACGGGAGGCCAGGTCAGCCTGACTAATGGCAGGCGTCAGTCCCAGCAGCAGGAGAGGTTCAGGATGAAACTGGAGTCTTGGGGTACCCTGGGCTGGCAGGTGGGAGGAAGGTGCCCAGCTGGCCTGGGCCACTCTTGTCCATAAATGTTTTGCTACCAGCCAGCCAGGCCCTGGGGAAGATGCCCTCAGAAGATGCCCTTGGCAATCTTGAGTCCTTTCTGCTTCATGCGTGGGAGGGTTGAGCTGGCTCCATGCTTCACCTTCACCCCCTTGGTGAAGGTCCGCTTCTTCAGGACAAAGTCATAGTTGGCGGTAGAGTTCATGGCATAGAACACGTTGGCGTTTTCAGGGATCTTCAGCTCTGGTGGGGGAGGGGCAGAAGGGTGATCAGTGGGGCTCCTGGGGACCTTGCAGGACACCCCTACCACTTGGGAGCCCCTGCAAGGACCATCCTGAGCCACAGACCTGAGATCCCCTCCAATACAGCTCTAGGACTCTGAGGACCCCTCTCAGTGACTCCTGCCTGAGGACAGACTCTGTTGAGGTCCTCACAAAACCTGGTGACTCCTGTTTAAACAGGGACTGACTCCAGAACCCCCTGGCTTGGCCTGAGCTGGCAGAGGGTCACCCCATCCTAGCCACACTGCAGTGCTGGCTGCCCAGCGGGAACAGGCTTTCTAGAATCCAGACCACCTCCCGGAATCCTGTCCTACTCAGGCCAAGGGCTCCAAGGACCAGGAAAGGGCAGGCTTGCCCCAGGCCTCCAGCACTGGCTCTAGGGAGGCCTCTGTCCCTTCTGGAACGCTGGCACCCAGCAACCACTTCCTCTTGGCTCCTATTTCCCCCTGGTCTCCTCTGGCCCACAGCCTGCTGTAAATCAGAGCTGGGCTCCTGCTGACATTGTGTAGCTTTTGTTCTCCTTCCTTAACCTCTTTAGGCCTCAGTCTTCCTTTTCTGTAAGATGGGGGTCCCACCTACCCTGCCCACCTAACCAAAATGGTGCCAGAAGCTGCAAGACGATTCAGACTCTAACTTCTAGGGATCACAGGAGTCACTGCTAACTGTCTGGGCTAATGGCTGGGGGTGGTGGTCAGCTCCCTGGAAAGAAAACAGCCATGATACTATTTGTAGTTAACTTCTATGGTGCACAGAGATGCTTTATATATACATGCATACACACACACACACACACACACACACATACACATGCATACATATATATGGATTTTTATATATATATACACATACAATTAACCCACTGGCTACTTTCATTTCCCTCTGGGGGATGAGAAGACAAGCGCAGAGGACTTAAGGAGCTTGCCCAGTGTCTCCAAGCCCAGGACACCTGACTCTGAGCCTGCACCTGTTCTTGACACTTTCCCGCTTTCTGGCGTCCCTTCCAGGGGACCTCGCCAACCTGTCCCAGTGAAAAGCCTTTCCCTTTGCTCCTCACTGAAGTTAGCGTTGAACTGCCTGTTCATGCCCAGGGAAGGGCACACGCTGGGGAGGTCCAGTGGTCACTGGGGGCAACAAGCAGACAACGGGGGCAGCCAGGGATGCCCTGTCCACAATGTCCACCCACACTCTGTTGGCGAATTTTCTGGGGCCAAAGGCTTCCAACCTGGGGCTGGGAGTGTTGCGGACCCATCCCCTCTGCCACTGCCCCTGCTCTCACTCACTCCGCTCATCTGAGAGAATCTGCACCAGCTCATAGTCCTCTGGCTCATCTGCGTCCAGGTGGTGTTTGTCCATGGCCTTGCGGATGACGGCCGGAGCCTTATCTTGGCTGGTCACCTGCATTGAGGCAGGAGAGGGGCCATCAGGGAAAAGACCCTGGGGGGGTTCTTCCAGAGTGTAGTGGCCAAGGACCCTCTGGAGCCCTCTCAGCACCGAGCACAGGCACTCAGCCTCTGTTCAGGTGCTGGGTTCAGGGAGGGACCCTCAGGCCAGCCTTGGCCCTGATCACTAGAGCTGCTGCTTTTCTGTACCTGGCTGACATCTGTCCTTCCCCCCACTAGAAGGCGGAGCCCGGGAGGGTGGGGACAGTGCCCTGTGTTCAGGGCGTGTTTGTGGCTGGTGGAGGGAGGGACCCGGCTGCCCGCCCGGCTCACCAGGATGCTCTTGTACATGTTGCCGTTGTCCACGTCCAGGCTGACACGGATGATGCAGCAGTCGCCCACCTGCTGGTTGTAGAGTGGCAGCGCAGAGGTGGAGCTGCAGAGCCCTGAGACGGAGCGCTTGTGGGTGCGCGTGGCAGCCACAGGTGTGGTGGAGGCTGAGGACGACGAGGTGCTGCTGGAGGCTGAGCTGATGCCGGAGGTCTCTGGGGACGACTGTGAGGCTGATTCCCAGAACTGAGGGGGGTGGCAAGGTCAGCAGATACCCTGGGGCCTGCGGGGTACCCCAGGCCTGCAGCCAGCTGGAGCCCTTCTAGGAGCCATGTTCAGGATCCAGGGCTTCCTGGCCCCGTGTGTGGATTGGGAGTAACACTGGCACTAAGAAATGGGAAGGTGGGGAAGGATATTGGGGAGAAGGGCAGGCAGTCACCTTCTTTTCCTGGCCATCAGGGGACTCTGGGACAAAGCTGATATTGATCTCCTCCACGTCGGAGCTGGAGGAGCCAGCCGAGTGCACGCTGAGTGCATCAGCAATGTCCCCGCTGCTGAGGTAGGGGCCACACCTGAGCTGGTCACAGGACTTGGAGTGGGAGCTACCGCTGGTACTGAGCTCAGTGCTGGGGGCCTGGCGACTGGATGAAGAGCCAGCTTAGTTAAGGGGGATCCCCAAGGACACATGCCACCCCCACAGCCCCTGCTCTCTGGGCCCGAGGACTGTGCAAAGTGCTGGGACAGTCGCCAGTACTCCATTCACCACAGCCATTTGGGAGAACATTTAGTATCACCCCATTTCACAGAGGAGGAAACTGAGGCCCACAGAGGTGAAGGGACCCATCCCGGTCTCAGGGCCTGTCGGCAGCAGATAGGATTCCAGCGCCAGCCCCCGTGACTCCCCGAGCCCAGGCTCAGCCCTGAAGCTTCTGGGCTCCAAGGCAGCTTCCCCTACCACACCCGGCCAGGCCCTCACTCGCTCCAGCGCTTGACAATGGCTGCGTTCTTCTTGGTCTTGAGGGTGTTGCTGGCTGACTCGGATGGGGGCTCCAGCTCGCACGACAGGTTGTAGCTATGAGCAGAGGGGCAACAGTGAGATGACCAGGAGCCATGTTCTGGCATTCCCCCAGCACCTGCCCAGAAGCTGGAGTCAGGGTACCCCAGCCATCCCCAGGCAACAGAGGCTGACATCACGGGTCACAGCTGCCAGCCCTCTGGAGCTGTCCCCCCAGGACAGCACCCCCCCACTGTCCCTTGCTGCCTGGCCTCACCTCTCAGCCTCGCTGAGCCGCTCCACTGCCCGGAACCAGGCCCCAAATTGCTCGTCGGGCGCAATGCTGTAGTTGTTGCAGGCCGACTGCAGCAGCTTGATCTGGGCGATCACCTCAAACTCCTGGGGCCAGAGCAGGGCAGAGGACAGTCTCTGAGCCTTTGCTCTTAGGGTCTCCTCCTCCCCTCTACTCCCATCCAGGCCTTCCTGTTTTCAAAGCTGGGCTCTCACAGCCACTCCCCAGGAGGCTGGAACACTACCGCTGCCATCCAGTGGGAGGAGACTCCCTTTTCTCTATATCCAAACGTCCCCATGAATCTGAGAGGGAGGGGGTGTCCTACCCTGGTGGGTCTCATTTCCGCCCCTCCCGCAGCGAGGGCTGCAGCTGCTCACCTTCCTCCTCTTCTCGAAGTTGATGAGTCTGCCCTGGAAGGGGGACACCCAATGGCCATCAGAATGTGACCCCTTGACCATTATGGCCCCCCACCCCCCATTTCATGCTGCACTATCAAGAGTGGCCACCAGGGGGCAGGGCGCGCACACCCCTGGACTGGGGACGGTGCTGGGCACCAGGGCAGGGGGACCTGTGGGCAGAGGCTTGTCCGCCCCTCTCTGAGGACAATGGACTGAGTCCTCGGGTGAGGCCCTCCAGCTTCCTTCTGCTCATGGTCACTGCCTGAGGGACGGGCTGTGTCCTGCTTGGCCAAACCCTGCTGCAGCTCTGTGTTTAGGCAGCCCTTGGGTGTCACCAGCCAGGCCCTGAGCTGTTTACTCAGTGCTGGGACAGGCGTGGTGGCCCAGCCCCCAGGGCTCAGGGAGGGGCTCTCCTCCTGGGCCCCACTCTAGCCCCAGCCCCACACCAGCCCTGCCTAGCACACTCACATACAGATAGTCCTTCATGGCGGTGTCCAGCATCACCAGGTCGGTGAGGAATGTGCCCAGGTAGGGAACGGTGCCCTGGATGATGCCCTGTGGCATTGGAGACACCAATGAGCAAGGCCCTCCTCGGAAAGCTCCTCAGACCCCAGCCCCAATCAGCCTCACTTGGAGCAGCCTGGGGACCTCTGGCGGCTTCCCCAGGTCCGCAGCCTCCCTGGACCCTCTACTCCCTCTAGCCACCCACCCCCACTGGCATCTGACAAGTGCCAGATTCCCGAGTCGTGTGGCCCCTGGCCCTCCCCAGCCCCATACCTGCCAGCTGGCTCTGCCAGGCCTGTTCTTTGGTCCTTGAAGATACCAGCTTGTCTGGGCATGGCCTTGCCTGCATCCCCAGGAGGCCACCTCTAAAGGGGCCAGTAGGCACTGTGGCCACAGAGGAAAGGGCCCCTCCTCCCACCCCCAGCCCCCTGGCCCTCCACAGTCTCGGGCTCTCTCACCGTTTCCTTTGGTCGTTTCTGGGCTCTCTTGGGGTTCATTTCCAGGGTGGCAAACTTGGAGGTCCCCTCCTGCCAGGGTAGAGGACAGAGTCAGCGAGGCCCATCCCCTCAACCCTAACCCTCAGACACCCTGATCTGGGGCACTGCCAGTGAGCTTGGGTCCCAGGCCTGAGCCTGCTTCAATACTCACTAGTGTGGGGTCCTGGGCTACCCTACCCAAGGCCTGCCCTACCCAAGCCTGCCTCCCACTCTGAAAAGTGCAGATGAGAACTCCACCTCTGCTGGGAGTGGTGGCTTCCAGCATTTTGGGAGGCCAAGGCAGGCGGATCACTTGAGGTCAGGAGTTCAAGACCAGCCTGGCCAACACAGTGAAGTCCCATCTCTACTAAAAAACACAAAAATCAGCCAGGTGTGGTGGTGCACACCTGCGATCCCAGCTACTTGGGAAGCTGAGGCAGGAGAATCCCTTGAACCCAGGAGGCGGGGGCTGCAGTCAGCCAAAATCACACCACTACACTCACCTGAGTGAGAGCACGAGATTCCTCTAAAAAGAAAAAAAGGGCCTCTGCCTGCCTTGCAGGGCCTCGGAGGACTCTGGCACAGTCCTGGTATGTCTGCACCCTCCTTTTCTCCTTTGTACCTCCTCACTTCCATGAGATCCGCACCCCAGACCTGGCATTCCTTTGTTTTCCAGATGAGGAAACTGGCCCTGAGATGGGCCACGACTTGCCCAGGGCTCCACAGGGACTCGGAACAGGCTTTTCTGTCCTAGCCAAAGGCTCTGCCCCAACTGCCTTCACCCATCTGGCCACTGATCAGGGTACCATCCTCTGGGCTTTCCGCTGTGTGCCAGGGCCCCCAGTAGAGCTGTGCCATGGAGGGAGAGAGAGAGGTGTCCTGGGAACCCCTGCGATGCTCCCCTGTGGGGAACTCTGCATTTGTCCATGCAGGAGGGGGGCCCTAGATGCCGTTTCACTGGTTCGCCAGGGGCACTGGGCAGTGACACTGACCCCCTTTTGTGTGGGAACTGCGGAGCCCAGGCCTCGGGAATCCATTAGTCCCTGATAGTTCTTTCCAGTCATCTGGGGTATCTGCCATGGCTGACGGGGTGCCATGGGGAGAATTCTACAGGGTTCTCTGATTGGTGAGGGTCTCTTTTCAGGCAGATTTTCCCAATCTGCCTCCCAGGTCTGGCTACCTGACCCCTGGCATCCCTTGCAGCTCCAATCCCTGGGGTCCCTGGGCTGCCCCTTCCTTGGGTGTCCAGAGTAGAGAGAGGTAGCAGCAGGAGCCTGAATTCCTGCAGACAGACTGGGCTGGTGTGGGGCAGGAGCTGCATCCCCTTCCCACCCAGCAGGAGGGACCAGCGAAGAAGCTGGAGACCTGCTTGTCCCAGAGCCCATCTGTACCTCCTGGAACCCCCACTGCCACCCTGTGTCCAATTAACTGAGGCCCCAGTCCTCAAACACCCAAGGGCCAAACAGCTCCCTCTTCCCCTTCGTGCACACAGGAAAGGAACACTTTCAGCAAGAAGCGAACGCTGCCTCCCCAGCCTCTGCCTGCTGCCACTCCACCTTGATGAGCAGCTCCCGGCTTAGTGAGTAGTTGTTCTCATCTGAGAAGATCTCTGACAGCTTCTGAAAGATCCGGAAGCTGTCCCTGTCAGAAGGGGAAAGGAGGAAGGAGAAAGTTGGGAATGGTGGGGAGGGGTGTGAGTGCAGATCCATTTTCTTTTAGAACTGAAAGACTGGGCCGGGCACGATGGCTCACGCCTGTAATCCCAGCACTTTGGGAGGCTGAGGCGGGTGGATCACAAGGTCAAGAGATCGAGACCATCCTGGTCAACATGGTGAAACCCCATCTCTACTAAATATACAAAAAATGAGCTGGGCATGGTGGCGTGTGCCTGTAATCCCAGCTACTCAGGAGGCTGGGGCAGAAGAATTGCCTGAACCCAGGAGGTGGAGGTTGTGGTGAGCCGAGATCGCGCTATTGCACTCCAGCCTGGGTAACAAGAGCAAAACTCTGTCTCAAAAAAAAAAAAAAAAAAAAACGAAAGACCCCAGACTGCCTGAAAGTGGCACCCAGGGTTCCGCAGAGCCCTGAAGCTCTGCAGGTCTGGGGAGGGGGCCTTTGCATGGCTACCATGGGGCCCCCGTTCCCATTTCCACTGAGCAGCTGCTTACAAAGGTGTATGTTTTTTTGTTTTGTTTTTTTTTTTTTGAGACAGTTTCACTCAGTCACCCGGGCTGGAGTGCAGTGACGTTATCCTGACTCATTGCAACCTCCACTTCCTGGGTTCAAGAGATTCTCCTGGCCTCAGCCTCCCAAGTAGCTGGGATTACAGGCATGAGCCACTGTGCCTGGCCCAAAGGTTTTGATTTCAATTGGATAAGGGTTCTGTGGCTACATGAAGACCTGAAAATCTCCAAAGTGGCTCAGCCTACCATCTGATGGATGAAGAAGCTGAGCTCTGAGGCAGAGCTACTAGCTCGGGTCAGTGGAGGGTCTCTGCCCTCAGGATTCGTGGCCTCCCTTGGGCTCACTCGCTAAGGGGGCGATGCCAGCCCTGTGGGAGGTCCCCGGCGCACCAGGAGCTCCTACAGAGGCATGCCTACCTGGAAACTTCTTCCCACGTCTTCTTCAGACGGTGGATGGAGTTACTCTGCAGAGCAGAGAGGATGGCATAGAGTGATGAGAAGTTCTTGAGGACCCGGCACTCCTGGGGCAGGAAGAGCAGGAGGCATGAGGTTGGGCTGGAGCTCTCAGCTGGCCTGGCCTCAGTCCCCCTTGGCTGAGCCTCCCCTCCCAATGAGACATGCCGAGGGAGCCCCCAGAGGGCATGCCTGCAACCCAGGAGTGACAGGAGGATTTTAGCTCAACCTAACGTAAGAGTGTAAAAAAGACATGAGCTGGAGGGTCAAGGCCAGCATGCCCCTGGGAAGAGCAGCCTGGGGCCTGTACAGGGGCTTGGACCACAGACCAAAACCTGAGAAGAGATGAAAACGAAGAGGGGGCTCAGGCCCCTCCCATGGCATACCCTGGCCACCTCGATCCAGTGCTCCACCACCCTGGCCCTGTCTGGGGCCTTCGTGCTTCGGTCCCCGAGGCAGGTGGTGATGACGCAGTTGGCCACGCTGTTGAACTGGGTGACGGTGGCGCGGATGGTGGGTGCCAGGTGCTCCTTGCCCTTCTTGTCCCGCTGGGACCAGATGGAGCCCAGGCAGTGGTAGGGTACCACCTTCTTGAACAGCTCCTGGGGAGGAGGCTGAGTGTTACCTGGCCCTGCCACAGCAGTCTGGGCTGGCGCTCCGGACGCTGAAGATGTGGCTCGAGCCCTGTGGGGGTCTCTGGGTTTTGTCCCATGCCATGCAGGGTGCCCAGCACATGAGTGACCCAGGACAAAACGCTGGTGGGAACAAGACGAGCACTGCCTTGCACATCCTCAGCAAACCCCAGCACTGACAGGCAGCTCACACCCACACAGACCAAATGGCACTGCCCTCCCCACCACCCTCCTCCCCCATCCCCACATGCCTCTGTCCGTTTCCCAACCAGACACACATCTGCTGTGGGCGCTACAACTAGGGGCTTTGTCCAGTGTCTGCCATGGGCTCCAGGATACATCAAGTGCCTAATAAGTGTTGAGGCCAGCGAGGCCTCTGGACAGATGGGGTGACCCATGGGTGCACCTTGGTGAGCACCCTCCACTCCCACAGGCCAGGCCTGCTGAGCTTCCTGTCTGTCCCATCTTGAATCTGCATAGTCACTCTGGAGGACAGGGGTGACCTCACCTCTACTGTCTAGAGGGAAACTGAGACGGGGGTTAAACTTGCCCTGGTTACTACTTGGTTTCAAATAGCAGACCTAGGATTTGACTAGAATGTGAGCTCTGGAAGGCAGGCCCACCCCTGCCCTGCCGAGCTGAGCTGCTCACCGCGTCCATCAGTGTAAACTGCTCTGCCACCAGGTCGGGAGGGAACACCAAGAGGTGAGGCTTCTCCTCGCTCAGCCCGTTCTCTGCAACCACAGGCACAGGCGAAGGCCAGGAAGGCTCTGGTGATGGGACTGGTGCCAGAGCTGGCTCCAGCTCTGGAGTTTGTGAGGGAGTTGGATCCCGTTCTGCAGGCAGTGCTGGCTCTCGTTCTGGAGCTGGAGCCCGTGGGAGCTCCTGAGCTGGTGCTGGAGCTACCTCTAGCTCTGAAGTTGGAGCTGGCGCTGGCGCTGGTGCTGGGCTGGGTGCTGGAGCTGGTGCTGGAGCTGGTGCTGGAGCTGGCTCTAGCTCTGAAGCTGGAGCTGGTGTTGGAGCTGGCTCCAGCACTGGGGCTGGTGCTGGGCTGGGTGCTCGAGCTGGTGCTGGAGCTGGTTTTAGAGCTGGCACTGGTGACAGAGCTATAAGAGGAGAAAATCTCACCAACATGCCAGCCTTTCCAAAGACAGAACAGCCCAGCTTCCAGATAAGCCTCTCCCCTTGAACCCACAAAACCTACAGCAGGCTGCCCTCCCACCTATGGTCCCACCTGGGTGGTCTGAGGCTCATCTGTGCCACAGGCCCAGCATCAGCCCCTGGAGCTGCCGCCTCTTGTGGCCCAGCACCAACCCCTCCTCATTTACCTTCTGACACCCACCCCAGTCCTCCTCACCCTCAGGCTCTGCCTCAGTGGGTTCTGAGTGCTCCAGCTGGGCCAGGAGGAGGTGGGCACGGCGCTCCAGGTCTGAGCCTGGCATGTTGAGCTGTACGTAGGCCACCAGCTGCTTGAGGCAGGGGAAGTCCGGGGGTTGACAGAAATCCTCTGAGTACTGGTCCAGCCAGGTGCCCAGGATGGAGGAGATGGCACTGGGGACAGGTGGGCAAGCAGCAGAGTCAGAAGCTCCCCTTCCCCATGGCCCTCCCACAGCTCCCCTGAGCCAGGCTGGGCTCCTGCACTGGCCCCTGTTCATCTGGAGGCTACCCACCCCAGACCAAGAACCAAGGAGGCCCCTGGTGAGCGGCGACCACCTCTCCCCTCCTTCAGGGAAGCTCCGCGCACCCCTCTGCGTGTTTCCCGGGCCACCCCCTCCCTGGAACATAAACGCCATGAGGGATCCTCCCACCGGGCATCCTCAGGTCTCTGGCAGCACCTCAACATGTAGCTCAGTGCTGGGGAGCTGCCTTATTCTCTGAGAGCTGCATGTGGGTCTCAGCTTCCCCCTGATCCAGTTCTCCCAGAGGGTGGGGTGCCTTCTGCCCGCTGAGCACTCACTGAGGGGCAAGGCAATCTGAGAGTAGAGGCTCACCCCACCCTCTGCTCTGGGTCCCCAGATCAGGACACACTGAGGCAAGTCCCGCTGTGATGAGGCCACAGTGGGACGGGTTCTCAAGGGGGCTGCTCTGAGCCCCAGCCTCCCCGGGACCCATCCACAGCTCTAGGTTGTCTTTCCTCCTGCAGGTGAAGCCCCCAGACCTCTAGCGGGGACCACAAGAAGCGTGGGAGCCAGGGTTGTGCCCAGCCGGCCCCAGCCCCAGCCCCATGCACTTTCCCACTATTCAGTCCCTTCCTCTTGGCTCAAAGCTCACTCACTTTTTAAGTTGGTCCTGGGGTCCACCATCCTCATCGGAGTAGGGGAGGATGCATCCATATCTAGAGGAGGCCGTGAGGGCATCACATCTACCGTACCTGCTTACGACGTCTAGTGTTACCGTCTGACTCTCCGACTAGAACGGAGGCCCAGGAGGGCAGGAACTTTTCTGCTTTTTTCACCAAATTATACTAAATGCCTAGAAAAGGGCCCGCGCATAGTAGGTGCTTCATACACTTGTTCAACAAATGAGCCCCAACCAGCTCCTTCCCAGCTGAGCGGCCCTTGGGCTCCTCCAACAACCCCCAGATAGACTCTGGAATGTCCTTGACAAGTGGGAAACTATTTTGCCCAAGGCCACGTACAAGTGAGGCTTGGGGCAGAGAGCTTCCCCACGGGGGACAGGATAAATCATAAATATGAGCACTGCAGACCAGCAGCCCATTCCCTAGGGCCAGATGTTGGGGAAGTGCTTTCCACAGCTCATCCCACCCAGGCCTGACAACCCCATGAGGTCCTCTTAGCACCCAGTTTCTTCTCGTAGGAGCAAAGTGAAGTTCAGAGAGGTGAAGCAGCATTGCCAAGACCCACGGCCAGGTGGGGGAGGGGCCGCGGTGGACCCTGCGCAGTGGAAGGCACGTGCTCACCTTTTGAACAGCAGGTCCAGGACCTGCTGGGTGGTGGTGAAGGCTCTGTAGGTACACAGAAAGATGGTGACGTAGGAGAGGTCGCTGCCCTGGAAGGCGGGCACCAGGTGCTCCACCAGCTTCTCCAGCGTGCCAGCCTTCACAGTCCGCACCTTGCAAGTCTCATAAAGGTTCAGGGCCGACTCATTCTCATACTGAGGAGGGATGGACAGTCAGTGACAGCACACAAATCTGGAGCTCAGATGGAACCCCAAGCCCTCAGTGGTGTGTGGCAAAAGGAAGGACTGGGTGTCTAGCAGAAAAAGGTTATCAGCTTTAAAAGAATTTCAGGCCAGGTGTGGTGGCTCAAAGAGGTAATCCCAGCACTTTGGGAGGTTGAGGTGGGAGCATCATTTGAAGCCAGGAGTTTGAGACCAGCCTGGGCAACAAAGTGAGACCCCTATCTCTATAAAAAATTGTTTACAAATTTAAAAATTAGACAGGGAGCCGGGCGCAGTGGCTCACACCTATCATCCCAGCCCTTTGGGAGGCAGAGGCGGGTGGATCACCTCAGGTTGGGAGTTTGCGACCAGCCTGACCAACATGGTGAAACCCCGTCTCTACTAAAAATACAAAATTAGCAGGGTGTGGTGGCACGTGCCTGTAATCCCAGCTACTCACGAGGCTGAGGCAGGAGTATCTCTTGAACTAGGGAGGCGGAGGTTGTGGTGAGCCGAGATCGCACCATTGCACCCCAGCCTGGGCAACAAGAGTGAAAAAATTCCTAAAGTAGAATTTGAGGTGCGGGAATGATTAAAATACTAACACCTTCGGGTCCTTGTTAGCTGAGTAATGGTAGCTGCCCTGTGGGAGGAGTGTCATCTGAGAGTTCTACCAAAACATCCCCATTTTTTTTTTTTTTTTGAGACAGTTTTGCTGTCACCCAGGCTCACCAGGATCTCAGCTCACTGCAACCTCCACCTCCTGGGATCGAACAATTCTCATGTGTCAGCCTCCCAAGTAGCTGGGACTACAGGCACGCGCCACCACGCCCAGCTAATTTTTGCATTTTTAGTAGAGACGGGGTTTCACCATGTTGACCAGGCTGGTCTCAAACTCCCGACCTTAGATGATCCTCCTGCCTTGGCCTCTCAGAATGCTGGGATTACAGGCGTGAGCCACCACGCCCGGCTCCCGTGGTACTGTTGAAGTGGCCTCAGAGGAATCACAGTGATCCCACAGCCACAAGAAGCTGAACTGCTACAGTGGCTCCAGCCTCCCTTCTGGAATATTACCCGGCTGAGTTGCCCGGCTCTCAACCTGGAGGAAGCCCAGGAATGTGTTCTGGGAGAGGGCAATTTATAGACACCAAACAGCCTGAAGCGCTGTTCTTGGTGAAGACAGCCCCACTACAAGTCTGGGAGAAGGCATGGAGGGTGGTGAGGCTGATGGCTGCACATCCGGGGAAGGGAGATCAAATGGGAAAATTTGGCCGGGCTCAGGGTTCACGCCTATAATCCCAGAACTTTGGGAGGCCGAGGTGGGTGGATCACCCGAGGTCAAGAGATTGAGACCATCCTGGCCAACATGGTGAAACCCCATCTCTACTAAAAATACAATAATTAGCCGGACGTGGTGGCACCTGCCTGCAATCCCAGCTACTTGGGAGGCTGAGGCAGGACAATCACTTCAACCTGGGAGGCAGAGGTTGCAGTGAGCCTAGAATGCACCATTGCACTCCAGCCTGGATGACAAGAGTGAAACTGTCTCAAAAAAGGAAAAAACAAAAAACAAATGGGAAAACTTGCTGCAGAAAACCTGACCAAGCCTGGGCTGGGCAGTGGGGGCCCGGAAGACAGTGAGGGCTGTTTCCTTCAGTATCAGAACTGTGGGGCCCTCATGAGGCAAAGCCCTGGTGGGGGGATTCCCAGCTGCGTCTCATGGTGGAGACCTGGAGCGCACTCACCCCAAGCCAGCGCTGGCCCTTGTTGGCTCCGTGGTGCAGCTGCACCTTGCGCAGGGAGATGGAGTAGATGACTCCGTTGATCAGCTCCTCGCCGATCTCCTGTGTGGAGCTCTGTGAAGACAGTGCCCGGCAGCCGGGCGTGGGGACGTCAGGGGCCTGCCCGGCCACCGTGCAGGGGGGGATGGCCCTCTGCAGCCTGTTCCCCAGATAGAACACAGACTAGAGGCCGCACAGACCCACAGCCCGGGGTGAAAGGAGATCACGGATCAAGGGCCTGGGCTTAACATGGGCACAGAAGGCCACTGTCATGGCAGGCCACTTCTCCCACCCAGCCAGCCATGGCCTGGGATTCGAACATGATGGGTCCACCAGTCCTCCAATCCCCTATTAACTGGCTCTGGCTCCTGCCCAGGACTGGCCTGCTCTCAAGCCATCCGCTTCCATGGTGGGGACTGTTGTTCAGCCATTTCACAGATGGGTAAATGGAGGCTGGGAGAGGAGCAACTGTTTCCAAGGTCATGTTACCAAGGGTAAGTGGTAAGGCGGGGATCCCAGGGCTCTGACACAGCTGAATGATCCAGGCAGCTGTGCCCTGAGAGAAGGTCCCCCCATGTCCCCAGGGCCCGAGGCCCATGGCCGTCCTCACACTCACCCCTCCTCTGCCCAGCCTGGGGGGCCCCGGCTGACCCCATAGCAGTGGGCAGCTCCTCCAGGCCCAGCACTGGCGTGTCAGCAGCACAGGTCTGGGCTGGTGTGGGGCACTCCCGACGGCCGCAGCCCAGCCACTTCCTTCCCCTCTGCTCATTCATGCCCTCATGGCTGCTTGGGCAATGGGAGTTCCCAGTTCCCCAACCGTCATCATGTGAGTGGGCAGTCTGAGAGGTGCCGGTGCTGGTATCCAGGCAAATGCTGGGGTTCCACAGAGCCCCAAACCACAGGCCTAGGCTAGAACAGGAAGGGGGGCATCTGGCTCCGGGCAGTCAGGAAAGGCCCTTGTCCTAGGAGACAAAGACTCCCCCAACCTGGCAGGCTGGCCTTGGTCACTTAGCCGCAATGACCCCCGACCTGACAGCCCCTGGTGCCATCTGCTCTGTCCAGGGACGGGATGAGCTCGCAGAGGAAGAGGAGCTGGGGTAGGGGTAAGGACACCGACCTGTGAGTTTAGGAAGGAGCTGGGAGGTACTGGCCTGGTCCAGGTTCATTAACCCACAGTCAGTGCCCCAACCCGGGTGGGTGTGGAGCTGAGAGACAGTGCTGACTCAAGCCCTTCCCTCAGCCCCAGCAGGAGCCAGGCAGACTGTCTAATGCTGTGGATGGGACCCTGGCCGCCTGCCTCCGGCCCCCCTTCAGAGGCCCAGGAGCCATGCTGGAAGTGCACTTCCTCTGACCCGAGGTCACCCTGCCGCTCCAGGCTTCATACCAACAGGAAGGCTGCAGGTGTCATGCTGGGCTCCTGACTGCCACTGCCACTGCCTCTGGACGGAGGGTCAGCCTATTTCTTGGAAGTTAGCAGGGAACCCACAGGCACATTCAAACCCACAAACAGCCACTGACAGGAAAACAGACATATGCTCACCCCCCTTTTCCTGACTCACATCTCTCTCCTGCCTAGAAAATCGTCGCTCGGAGAAGAAAAGCATTAGAGGTTACAGTGACCAGGGCACCCAGCCACCCTGGCTGCCTCGGGTCCCAGACTGCCTTCTGTGAAGGCCTCTGGCTCAACTGGGAGGGTTGGTCTCCCTCGGGGATTTTGGCCATATCTGGACCAGCTGGGAGGCAGACAGTATCCTGAGTGCCCAAGTCACTGGCGGAGGCTCTGAGGTCTCGTGCAGGACAAGCCCGCCACAGGGGATTGGACATTAACTCCTGGGGAGCCTGGCACAGCACCCAGGTCCTGGCAGAGCACCATCAGTGCCTGCTGGACAGAGGTGTCCCCGGCCAAGCCAACCCCCAGGAGGGGCTGAAGCCAGGTGGCCTTGGCCATCTCTGAGCTGGTCTAGATGGCAGCTGGCCCAGCCCTGCTTGGTGTCATGTGACATCCCTGCACCCTCCCCTACCCCGGAGGCCCTCTTCTGCCAGGTGGTGGCAAGGGATGCAGGCCCAATGCTAAGAGCACGCATGCTTGGGGTGAGGGAGCTGCCACTCTGTCACAGTCGGGGAGACGCTCTAGCCTGCGTGGAGCCGGCCTGTCCTCTCTGTCTTGTCGCAGCAGCCGCAGGCAGGGAACCAGACCATACAGCTATGTGGAGCACAGGCACCATTTAAACTGCCTGCTAAGATGGCAGAGGTGCAGGCTCCAGAGCAAGCTCTCCTGGGGTCTGCGCACAAAGCAGCAGAGGGGGGCCTCTATCCCTTGCTCTGACTCCCCCACAGGACATAGAAAGCAAGCAGCCGACAGACCTGGCCGCTGCCCCAGGACCCTCTGCAGCAGAAAGGCAGGGATCCAGCACCCACAGGCCACCCTGAGTCACTCTGTTAGCAGAGCAGACAGCCCACAGGGTGCTCTGGCTGGGAGTTCCAAGAAGGAGTAGGACGGCCTAGTAAACAGCTGATGCAGAGAAAACGCCTTCCCCCAGGGCAGGCGCCCGGGCAGCCGCTCTGAGCTGACTACTGGGAGGAGAAGAGAATGCCACGTGCCTGGCTGTGTCCTCAGGACACTCCCGCTTGTCCCACCCCCAGCAGGCATGCTGATGTCCCTGGGCTCTGGGACCCAGTCGGCAGCTGTGCCTGCGAACACACGGCCTGGCCTAACATTTGGGTCAGTGCAGTGAGGGTGGCATGACGGCACGGGGTCCCTAGTGAGCAGGGCCCCCACACTCCAGTGTCCCCAGGGACACAGCACAGAGCCCTGAAGATAAGGAGGGAAAACAGGGCCTGGGTGGCATCTAGTAAGTGTGTCACCTGATCAGCCTTCTCAGAGTGACAGGCCAGCAGGATGCCGTGTCCCTGGCTGATGGAGGAAGCCACAGGCCCAGCCCAGAATCCCTCTGGGTAGAATAGTGAGGGTCTTGAGGGGTCCCACGGGGCCTGCCGCACCCCTGCCATCTCCCCACCAAGGCCAATGGCACCTCCTCTCAGCATCCACCCCCTGGTGCCGCTGTGGACTCAGACACCTTTCCTCTGAAATCATAACTAGTGCCCCCTACCACCCCCCACACCCCCACCACAGGGATGGCTCCAGGAACTCGAGGGCCCCTCCCAAGGAGACCTGGCTGAGGGCTGAAGTAGAGTGAGGAGCCCAGCAGCCCTGCACCACGCGCTGCTCTGCCCCGGGCCGCCCGGGCCCAGTGCATGGAAAGAGCCTCCATGTGCGTGAGATGGTCCTGGGGGAACTCCCACACCCCTCCGAGCTGCTGCTCAGGTCCCAGTCAGCAGAGGTCACCTGGGGCGCTTGCCAGCCCCCTACAGTTCTAGCCCACCACACGGCAGTTCACCGTCTCAAGGGTCCAGCTCCCAGCTCTGCCCAGCCCCTCGACCCTTGGCCCTGGGGAGGACAGCAACAGCTCTCACAGGCGACAGTGGGGGTCAAGAGAGAACGCATGCAGCTTGGTGACTGACAGCTGATGGGGTGGCTGGGAAACACTGACACCACAGCCCCCAGGGCCGGCGATGGACACTGGGTGGTAGAAACCTGAGGGGAACTTGTCTGAGACCTGCCTGAGGCTCGGGGACGTGGCCCATGGGCACTGTAAAGAGAGGCCGAGTCACCCTGAAACCCGGTGGGCGGGGGAAGCTTTCTGACTTGAGCTTTTGGCTCCAATACAGAAGCCAAACGTGAACCGCATCACAAGGCTGCTCCCTCTCTGCAGGGCCCAGGCTCCTGGGGCAGCGCAGCACTCACACTGCTGTGTGCCTTCTCCGTCCTACAGAAGTGGGACCAAGGCCCGGAGAGCGGAGCAAGTAGGGAGTGTACAGGCTGAGGGGACAGCCTAGGACTTCTCAAGTCCATGTCCTGGTTCCTCTCAGACCACGAGTCCAACCAAGGGAGGCGGAATGCAATGGCAGCATGTCCATGACCCGCCTGCCCTCCAGCTCTGGGTGGGTGGACCCAACCCTGATCCTCAGGTATGAACAAGGCCCCAGATGACAGGAGGCCAGCCCTGGGTGTGGGTGTCCTGGTCCTGGGCACTGCAGCCCACAGAGGTGGCCTCGGATGGGGCTGACACGAGGTGCCTAGCCACTAGGGAGCTCCCTGTCCCAGAAAGTGAAGGCTGGGAACCAGCCTGTGCTGAGCCCCTCAAAGGCCAGCATAGCTCTCCAGAAACCCTCCCTGCCAGCCTGTGCCTTGCTACTCACTGATGGGAAAACTGTGCCTCAAGCAGGAGAGGGGAGACCCAGCCCTCCAGATCAGCCACAAGCCTCGTGGGTCTGAGGTCCCTGTCCACACCCGGCCCCTGACAGGTAAACACAGGGCCAGGCCCGGGAGGGCCATGGCTGGTGGCAGCTGAGGAGGAAGGTGGGCTGGTCCCAAGGGGGTGTAGGGCAGGGCCAGCTCAACGTCCAGCCCCAACTTTAACCAGCCACAGCGCCCAGCATGTGCAGGGGCCTCCTGGGTGTAAGCCGCTTTGCAGACCCACCACGTTTAATCCTCCTAAGGCCCTGCCTGATGGATAAGGAAGCAGCCTGGCAAGAACTCACCCAGGTCAGGGATTTGAACCCTGGCCCATTAGGACCCATCCAGGCCTGGCGCTGCCTCTGCCACGGTCCCAGGCTTGGAGCAGAGTACAGGCGCTTGTGGCACAGATGTGAAGGAGGGGCTAGAGATAGGAAGGACTTCCTCAGGTAACACAGCAAGTTCGGCGGGGAGGGTGGCAGGGCCAGCTCTCCAGCACCTGCATCTCCGAGAGGTTTGTGGACGTGCCCTGGGCAAAAGGCCTGCAAGATGCCAGGCCAGGGAAGTACTGAAGGTGCCAGGTGACATGCCCCAGGAGCCCAGGGCACTTGGTAGGCTCAAGCCACTCCCCTGGCACCTCATCAGAAAACCTCATTGTGGCAGCTGCCACCTGTCCACTGTGCCAAGCACTATGCAGGCTGCTTTCAGGCCTCCTGTCTTACTCGGTCCTCACCAGAACCCTACGAGGAGGAGCTGGCATCACGTCCACTTTATAGAT